CCCCATCCGCAGCCGCGTCCACCACCGCGCGCTGCTCCTCCCCTGCCGGGTTTCTGCAAGTCAATATTGATGTTTGCAGCGTGCACGAGGCTTTGCAAAGTGCTCCCTGGCTCGCCAAAAGCAGCTTGTCTTTTTGTTAACAAGTTACACGGTGAAAGAAAATTGCCTACGCCTGGTATCTTAGCCAGAAGGCTGCAGCAATAATAAGAGGGTATTAGAAAATCAAAACTACTTTTTAAATATTTTTTTTTAATTTTAAAAGCTTTTACAAATATCTAATGTGTCTCTGGCTGGGCCCCAAGTACAGAACCATTTAACGAAGCAATCTGCCCACAAACCAGAAGCGTTTGTGAGGCTGTGGAAAGCGATAGCTGCAAATAGCGGGGATAAAACACCTCCGGTGGATGCTCATCGAACGCCCGAACGCCAGCCGTGGCAGGAGGGAGGGAGGGAGAGAGAAATGTCCCCAGACCCTCCCCCTGCCCGAGCAGGAGCGCGGCAGCGTGTCCCGCAGCCCCAGCGCAGCGCCCCGAGCGCGGACTCGTGGCCCGGTGCGGCGGGAAAGGCGCTGAAATGGTTATTTCTGCAGCAGAATCCCGGCACAAGCCCTGGAAAAAATCAGGGCACAGCATACAGCAGCGTGCAAGGAGTAGTTAAACCCTCCTCAGCTCCACAGGAAAAGGAAAGTCTACTGAGATTCCCCTCCACTCCCAGAAGTGGTAAACATTGATTTAAACTTCCCCTTAGTTCAGCAAAAACCCGAGCGATGGGCGTAGGAGCAGCGTTGCTGTTGTGCTATTTACGACGGGCATTTGCAGGCTCCTTCAGGCAGCGGCGTCCCCTCAGGCTTTCTGTATACTTTTCCATTAATGAATAATTTGCACAAGTAATGATTATAGAGGGGGAGCGCCTGAGCTGTTACCCGCACACGTTACCCTGAGCTCAGGGGAGCCTTGGCCAGAATTTTTCTGTGTTAGCACACGGTTACGCTGACAGCGCCGGAGCCGCGCGCGTGCCCCTGACTCGGGGAGTTTATCCAGAAACCTGGGAGAGGGGAGGATGCTCCGCAGCAGGGGGAAGGCCCGGGGAGGGACAGGAGGCAGGTCCCAGACAGCCACAAGCACTGGGAGAACAGAGCACCAGTACCACCATTCCCAGCCCCTTCTCGCGCACCCCTGCCCACCCCATCATGGCATTTTCCGGCACGGGCAGTGACCCCACGCCTCACGCCGTCACGGAGCAGCACCCTGGCCCAGCAGCCGCTTCGCCAGCAGCCACCCAGCCCACGCCGCCAACCTGCAGCAAGTCGTGGTGAACCCAAGACGGACCCACCAAGCACACACCGGGCTCACGGACCCCCCGGACCCCAAGAGCATCTTCGCCCCTTTCAGAGCAACGCCCAGCGGCGCGGGAGCAGGAGCTGGGTAACAATCCCAGGCACCCACAACCCCACCGACACCCACCCCCTTGCCAGGCTGCAAGATTATAAAACAAAGCAAAAAATAAACCCCAAGCTTCACTGAATTTACAGCCAGGCAGCTCCCCACCCCTCCCAGGGCAGAGCTGGTGCCCGGTGAACGGCACCGTCCGTGCCTTAACCCACTGACCACACCGCGAGGGTCACTGCTGTCATCATAATCACCCGGCACAAGAATCACCTCGGACTTCACCGGAAAACGAGCTGTGGGACACGCACAAGGGTATCTGCAGGAGCGGGCAGGTACGGCTGGTCTGCAGCTGCTGCAGAGCCGGGAAGGCAGCTCAGGCAACGGGAGCGCGTCCTCCACGCACAAACCCACCCCGCAGCGCCGCGTCCCGCGGGAAATCCCCTCACGCAAGGGAAGGGCGCGGGTACTCACTTGATCTTCAGGCTGGCGAGCATCGTCTTGTCGATCCTGGGGAGAAAGCAGAGGAGCGGGTTACTGCGGGCGAGGCGGGGTGGCCGTCCCTCCTCCCAAGCCGGGGGCTGCTGGCAAACCCGGCCCCAGCATCTCCCGCGGAGGTGCCGTCCGCCTGGCTGGTGTGACCGCCACCACAGACAGACTTGACCAGAAAACAAACCCAACCAAAACGTAACCCAAAGCAAAGCCTGGTGGCAAGTAAAACAGAATCCCCCCGGTTATTTCCTGGTGGTGACCAGGGGAGAGCTGTTCTCTCCTCATCCAAAATGCCAGAGATGCACCAGGCGCCAGAGGAGACCACCCGTGTCCCAGCCGCCTCCAAAGCCCCGACGGGTTCACGTCTCCCACAAAACGCCTATATAAAGAAAACAGACCCGACGTGCCGGGGCGCGGAACTCTGGTCGCTTCACTTCTTCATTTGGCACGTTAAGGGGTGCCTGTCTGCACAGAACCACCGTGGTCAGAGCCACGTTAATCAATGCAAATCATAGTAAGGTTTCAAAATGCAGAATGACGCCTTTTGGCAGCTGTTGCGAATGCTGTTACCTGCCCTGTGGAACTAATTCCACACCTCTGAAAAAAAAAAACAAAAAACAACAAACCACTAAAACCCCCAAACCCCGCTTGCTTCGCCCCGCGATCACAGAGGACGCGGCGAGGCTGCAGAAATGCAGCTTCCCCTCTACTCGCAGCTTTACCTCCCTCCGCTGCCGGCCGAAGCTCCCCGTCACAGGAGGCTGCGCCAGCACCAGGCAGGGCAGGAACCCCGCGTGGGGTGTCCCTGCTCCCCAGGGGCGAGGGCAAAGGCACCCCCACACCCCAGCCGGCCCCCGGCGCCTCCCGCCCCCCCCGCCTGCACCCCC